GCTTTGAAATTTATAACATGAAAATATATTTCAACTATTTATAGTTTATAATGAAATAAGGCATTTTTAATTAATTATTTAATGAAGCTGATATTTCTGCTATTATTTAACGAAAAGAACGTTTTTCTATTTTTAAATGATTAAAGTGAAGTAATAAAACTAGGAAATTCCGATTTGATTTCTAATTAATCGTATATTTGAACAGATTCTGTTATGCTAGCAACATAAAATTCATGACGTAATAGTTATTTCTTTTGGACAGTATTTAAAACCCCGGAACAGGTTCTACACGAACTTATTACGTTCAAAATGAAAATTTCGATCTTCATCGCCTTGCTTATGTTCTGCGCTTCGAATGCAACTGAAGACGAAAAAATGGGTTATTTTAAGAATCGTATTTATAATTTTATTTTAATTTATAATTAATTAATAAACGTGATAAAATTTATTTATGATAGTGAAATTACGCAGTCATGTAAGTACTGTACATTACAAAAAATTGCAATTTATTATTATTATTTTTATTTTCTGTAACATAACGTATGAACTTTAAATGGGATAATGTTATATTTGAAGTAATATACTCCTATTAATAATTACACTTTCATTTCTAAATAATATTATAATTATAATCTACATGTATATACATTTCAGATACAACTATGCTGTGAAAACGCAACAGATAATGCACGGTTTAATGAGGTAAAAATTAATTATTAGTTTTAGGTATGTGATATAATTACGCTTATTTATAATTATATTTTTTGGTGAAAGCCCACCATCTCTTTCTAATTTCATTAATATGACTCTATAGCAGAGTTCCAGAGATACACGTATCACTGGAACTCTGCTATCTCTGGAACACTGAAACCTAAACAACGGCATAATTTCTGTGTCGTCGTCTTCAATAAAACTCCATTTAGTTACTCTAATTGCATATTTTCGTCCGCCATGTTGTAAGATCGACCTGATCTCTATACTTAATAGGACAACTATTAAAAGTTTGGTGTCATTAAAGAGAAGGAGAGTCGGTGAGTGTTTATAATTGAGACGACTTGACCAAAAACTAATACATGAAGATCTAATAGACAAGGTCCACACTTGATGACAAGTCACAAACTGCAGGGGTGAGACAAAAGGACAAGGAGATTCTTTTGTCTGAGGTAGGTCTCCTGGCGGACCAAATTGGTTTTCACTTGTAAGCACCAACACCCCTTCATTTTATATCAGGGTACCTTCTGTGTTGGTGACACATGATCGATGCTTGCCTGAAAACAAAGATTTAGTTGGGACGTCGGCAGACATCTCATTGTTTGACAAATATTTGATGTCGACGTCTTTGCGTTCCGGTGCTTCCCGGATTAAATATTGTCGTATGTCGATATGTTTCGTCCAAGAGTGAAAGTTCGGGTTCTTAGCGAGCTTATTGTTGCTTTGATTATTGTTATTTATTATCACTGCACCTCCAAGCACGAACACAAAGCCTGTGTCGGTCGTTCGAACATGATCCCCAGTCGGCATCTACGTAGCCCTCGAGTGGTTTTCCAGTTTTTAAACTATTGTTTCATGGCCAGAGGTGCCCTGTATGTAACATAGCATTCGTTTCGTGTATGTTGTTGTGGCATGTATTGAATTGGCTTAATTTGCTGACCCTCGAGGTGGAACGACCCTCGAGGTGGAACGAACCTCAAGAATTTTTTGCGGGCGGTCTGTCTCGAATATATTCGATCTTCTCTCTCACAACCGGCCATTCGCATTACGCGCAAATCAAACCAACAACGGGGAAATAATTTATAATTTTTTGCTACATTACGTTTATTTTTTTATCGTTAGTGCCCGTTTGTATATTTCAATTATTTTTTTAATCTATTTTTTTTGTAATTTTTTTCAAGCAAACGACTTGATATCCATTATAATCTGGAAGGATTCGTATTAGAATGAGGATTATATTCTTATAATCTTTCAAGGATAGTTGCATTCAATAATGGTTTTTTGTTACCCACGTTAGTCGATCTTGTTGTAGATCTGATCCACCCTTAACAAAGAAAATTAAGTTTCATTATGAATTCTTGTTAAATTTTAAACCGTATTTACTTGGTTTTTCACATGTAAATAATATTATATACTTTTCAATAAATAAAAATTCGATAATTAAAACATTTTTATAAGTATGGAGTTTGAAAGAAATAAGCCTATAAACGTTTCACTTTTTCAGGAATATGTAACTTGCTTGAATACTTTGGTAAATATTTTTTTCTTTACTATTATTTAATTATTTATCAAACTTACAATGCAATAAAGATATAAATCATATCATTTTTTATTCTAAAGATTTTATAAGTTATAACACATTAAAGATATAAATACATTAGCACTCAATGTAGATCGAAAATGAGATTTATAAACAATGTTATTTTAATATTAAATATAGGATGGCAAGAATAAAACGAAGTTCGATGTAAATATTACTTTTTGGTGTTTTATAATATGACTTTCAATTTGAAAAATACTATTTAGCATTTCTTTGATATTTCGCATTCCAGGAAATGTGTGAATACAGGTTAAAGAATGATTGTCCGGTAAGGTTCTCTCCTATTAACTATTTTATCAGTTACAGGTAACCCCCATATAACACGGCACTTCTATATCACGGATTCACTCTAACAAGGTTCCAGAATTGGTACCATCCCCCGTATAACACGGTACTTTTATAACACGGATTTACCCTGACACGGTTCGAGAATTGGGTAAAACCCTCGTACAACAGGAAATGTAATAAATTTTTACATACTTAAGTAATAATAGATCACGAAAATTATTATTTTCGTGAACTATTAGTACCTAAGTATGTAAATTTTCTCTTCTCGTTTTCTGTCGATACACATGGTCCTTCTCGAAACTTGTTTCAATATTGCCAGATCGCGACGCTTCTGCTTCTGATGTTGCTGAATGTTTTCCCTTATTCCATACTTGCTTTATTCTTCATAAGTGCTTAGCACCATATAAGGAAATTTATAAAGACCTTTTAACTAGAATCAAGCAATCTAAAATTACATACATTTTGCAAAAGGTAAAGCATGGATCTGAAGATAATGCAGAAAAATGCTCAGAGGATAAGGATAACTTGCCAAAAAGAAAACGCTCTCGGTTAATTAATAGTGTTTTTAGTGATGACGAAGAAAACATTGTTTAATTTATATTAATATGTATCACTTAAAAAAATTTTAATGAAGATATTTATCTTAATTATGAAAATATACTAGCATGTTTTTTTAATTTTTGGAACTAACCCTCCTTTTCGTATTAGTTCTTTGTTTCGTATAACACGGATTCGCATAACACGGCAATTATTTGGAACGTAACTACCGTGTTATACGGGGGTTACCTGTACTCTATTACCTTTATAACAAGTTTGTAACTTGATCTTGTAATCTTGCAAATTTAGTGATTTAATAAATAATACTTGTTTACAGCTTAAATACAAAGATTGCGAAAACAATGGTACTATTATTAAAGAAAAGGTAATTTATTTTAAATATATTCAATATAAATAAATTATTCTTTGTTTTTTAAAATCTATAAAATAAATTTAAAATATTTTACTTTTAATGTGAATTGAAAACTGTAATCCTAAGTTTTCATGTAATGTTTCGATTGGAATTAGAAAATAATAGAAATTATAGTTTGATTTTATGATATACGCCATGCTATAACATGAAATCAAAGCAATCTGCCATGAAAATGAAGCTGGCCGGACTTTCTGTCTGAAACTCTTCTCATTTACATTTTACAAAAGTGAAGAAAACTCCGTGTGTAGCCCGTTCGTCAGGGGAACCCATGACGAATGTTCCGTGTTATTATTCACTTTGCCACAATATAAATAATGGAAAGCAAATCTCTTACATTTAAAAATGAAGGAATCAATGCGCTATTCGATTCAACTTGACAATCTCTGAAAGAACTTCTTTTCTTCCGAATAAACAAGTTTAAGATTCAATTTGTATAGGTGCGTATGATGATAATTCGGATGATACATTTCACAGATATTAGAAATATTAATGGATAGATAACATATACCTTTTTGTTTTGTAAATGTTGACATTAGTCATTCATTTAATTCATTACATAAAATCAATCATTTAACTCTTAAACATAAAAATAACTTCTTAATTGAAGTTTTTAGACTATTTACAAAAAATTAAATTTTTCGAGTCTATCTTTTAAATCCCTTATACACCACCACAGAAGTAACAGTTTTAAAAATTGCTTTTGAAGAAAACTTCTAATGAAGAAAACACTTCTAAAACAGGTAAAAATTGGTAGAAAAAGTCCACAAAGTTAAAAAAGATCAAATGCCTTTTCTTTTAGGTTCTGACACTTTTTTCATTAAAACCATGATGAATTCTTCATACCATCTTATTTTATCCACTTATAAACTGCTTCTGACCCTCTAGTGGTAGTTACGAGTAATCCACATTATTTGCATACAGTTACAATTTTCATGATAACTCAGGATATATTGGTATGAAGAATTCATCATGGTATGAAGAATAAGATGGTATGAAGAATTCATCATGGTTTTAATGAAAAAAGTGTCAGAACCTAAAAGAAAAGGCATTTGATCTTTTTTAACTTTGTGGACTTTTTCTACCAATTTTTACCTGTTTTAGAAGTGTTTTCTTCATTAGAAGTTTTCTTCAAAAGCAATTTTTAAAACTGTTACTTCTGTGGTGGTGTATAAGGGATTTAAAAGATAGACTCGAAAAATTTAATTTTTTGTAAATAGTCTAAAAACTTCAATTAAGAAGAAAATATATCCTGAGTTATCATGAAAATTGTAACTGTATGTAAATAAAAATAACTTATCCAAAAACTTTTTACACTCAATGTAATTATTTTAATAATTTGCAAGAATGACTTTCTTTGATAAAATTTTATAATATTGTTGCATTATTAATATGTGAAATTTAATAAAATACAACTTTTTATTATAATTACAGATATTGTATATATTATTCAGTGAATTGTCAGAACAGGTAAGATAAAATTTTAAAAGTATATACATACATTAAATACATATGCAAAAGACAAACTTAGTATTTATTAATGTCATGTTAACGTGTAACAAAATAAATTATATTTATTTAAGTTTAGCATGGATTCTTATTCAACTTTTCTGGCACCGTAATTTACAGTTATATGTGGCGCCGTATGTTATTAGATTTGGTTAAATAATCATTTTATACACACACATGTGAAAGAAGAAAGACTGTACTCAATGGTGTAGCCTTAAAAGATAAGAAAGATGGGTGAAGGAAGGAGGGAGAGTGATTTGTGGAAAAATTGGAAAGGTGGGATAGTTGGAGATTTAAAAATGGAAGGGTGAGGACATGAACCGCAAGGAGTACTGCTGGATGAGACAACGATAAACAATAGTTTATTCGTGCAGAACAATTTTTATTTCCAAGGAAAAAGTAGGCGCATAGAGTAATACTTTGATGAGTTGGACAGATGAAGCAACCTTAATAAAAGTTAGCAAAAGAAAGGGTGGTGCTGGGAAGAAGCAATAAGGAGTCCCCCTTTTGGGGGTCCCTGTTGGCCCAGGAGACGAGTTATCCGTTAGGTGCCACTTGGTCTGGTAGTGGTATAGTCCGTTAGTTTCAGTTGTCTCACGTGTTACGGGAAGATCTGGCAACACCAGAGAGAGAGGGACGTTCAAGACAGACGATCCTGACTAAATGTATAAGAGTGGAGATCGCCCGGTCCAAGTAGGATTCCGAATAAAGCATTCAGAGTAAGTGTATGTATTCCTGTCTTGCGAGGGTCTTAAGTGCGTCACGAAGGGCGTATAAACACTAAGTAAACCACATAAAACGTCACGAAGGTCTTAAATTCTTGATAGATGATCTGGTACTCTATAAAGGTGTACAGTTTGTAGGGCTAAAGATACCCTCGTTCCACAAAAGCCTTACGAAGGTTTGCATGGTGGCGTGAATGAACCGGGCGGATAAAGATTACATGGGATTTTATTAAAAATAACTTTTATACAATGAAATTTGAGTAAACAGGAATTTCACAATACCAAAGAATTTTTCCGTTTCGGCAAGATTCCGTTTTGGGCAGGTTTTAATATTTTTTTATTTTTGGAATATACCAGATAAATGTCACATTTTAGAATAAAATTAATTTTCACATAAAGAAGAAACTTTCATTAGGCCCACTAGACCTAATCCAAATTAACAGAAAGTAATCTTTTGTATTCGAACACTCTCATCTTTAGTTGGAGTATTCGAATACAAAAATTTTGAACTATTCAATGCCAAAAAGTTCTGTTAACGCCCTGCATATTCAAATAGTTCCTGGCTGCGGTCTTACGAGAGCACATGACAGAGAACAAGCAAATTTGGGTACCAAGAACCAGTGTCTCGGTCATCCGCCAGAAAAATCTAATCGCTTTACAATAAAAATTCAGCAACCAGTTGCCGAACATTTGGTAGCACCATATGTTACAATATTTTATTAAAAAGAACTTTTTATATTTTAACTATTATAAAATGGCAAAATGTTTAATTTTGAGGATAGGGACGGGTTTTATAAAAATTGTAAATGCTAATAACGAGTAAAATCGTCATTAAGTTCGAAGTTACTGCAGATATGACAAAACGACCCCTCTTTATCTTACCGCCCCTCGACCTTTAAACACCAAAGATCATATTGCACAAATAGAAATACAATAGAGCATCGATTATCCGACTCAATTGGGGAATCAGGTTGGTCGGATAACTGAAAAAATCGGATAACCGAAAAGAAGGAAAAAAATACATTATTATTATAGTATATTAGTATATCCCATTTAAATCCCATTTAATTATTATATTAGTATATGGCTCTTAAATTACTTCGCGTTGAATTTTCATCGATGTTTAGCCTAACAAATTTTTTTTTAAATAATAATCGTCGCTATTGTATCGTTAAAAATTATTTTTAAATTATTTTATTGCTCACGAAACAAACAACCACTCATAATTAGAAAATTAAGTCTCGTTTAAATACTGGCATCCCTTTCATGGTCGAGCCATTGATGCCAGCTAAAACACGCAAAAATTTAACAAAAATAATATCAAAGTAGCCAAGACATAGCCAAATATTGTAGCGCCACATCACTAGCGGACATTTGAAATTTGCCAACTAGAACGGTCGGTTAATCGATGTGACGGTTAATCGGGGGTCGGATAATCGATGCTCTACTGTACATAAATATTATAATTCATTCATTATACATTTTAATTTCTTTATTATTATTTAACGTTTAAACTTTTAATAATTCCTTTAATAATCGTTAGGTAATGTTTTTTTTTTCTAGTATTCAATAGCTGCGAAGAAGGGTAAAGATGCAACGAACCAGGTATGTAAGAAGTTAAAATTAACTGTATATTAAACTTTTAATTTGTTAAATATAACTTAAAAATGATTATTTATTTTACTTATTTACTAAAATTTTTTTCATTAAATTTTTTCAAGTATCTGATGGAAATAGGTGCTATTGTATGTTTTCATATTTATTTTGTTAAATCTAAGTATTAATGTTATAAAATTTAAGATATTTTATAATTTATATATAATAAAAATTTCAATATGAATTTCTGTAGATAACAATAAATTCTAAATTTATTTTAGAAGGAAAACGAAGTAAGTAGTTAAGAATTACGCATAAATTATACTATTATATGATATTCTATAGAATTTGATTGCAAAAATTTCTTTCTAATGAAAACCTACATTTAGGTCTATATAAAAGAATATATAAAAATGTTATTGAAGCCCTCTTTTTCTAAAAATTTACTTTTACTTTTCCTGCTGATTTTACACTTTCCTCTTGTGATGGAACATGCCGCATTTGACCTGAACTATACTATCTTTATTTATATTTTTGAAAATAATCATATTAAAAGTAATCTGTTTTAAGCCATAAGATGATTTATCCTTAATTGTCTTATGCAGTCTGTCAAAAAGTTTATCCCTGGTGAATCTTATTAGGGCATAAATTACTCTATCTATCCCTTTTTCCTTTCTTTCCTTGGAGATAAATGTGCTTAAGAATTTTATGAAAAGATTCCACATACATATCACAATTTATTCCCTAAATTTCTCCTGTAGCAATATGCCCACTGGTGAACTCTGTTTGCATAATGACACAAAAAAATAATTTCCAAAATCTTGCACAATATCATTAGTAATAGATAATTAAGCACACTGTCTAAAGGCAGTGAAATTCTTCTTAATTTCTTTCTTCCAATAGCATCCTGATACATTTATAAACTTGTATCTTAGTTTCTTGTGTACCTTTCACTTTCTGAAGTTGTTTTCTCCAGTTTCTGTCTACATACCGTATGCAAAGTAAATGATTTTGTGGTTTCGGCATTACATGAATCCGTGCATTATAAAATGCAGAGTCATCTGACGTAAATACTTTTGGCTCAATAGAACCAACTTTATCACAGACCACCTTAAAAAGTGGGTGAGAATTACTGTATCTACTGTGTTAGACAATAGATAGGCAGCAGGAAACCCTCCTCCACATGCATCTACAACTAGAATTGTAGTTAACAGGAAATCATAGTTAGTGGTTCCATGTGTGGAATCTAGACAAACTACCTCGTATATTACTACCAAACTGCTGTAATGATGCTTGAAAAGGTGTCATGAACGTGAGCATAAAATCATCAAGTAAACCACTATTGCAATTCTTCCCCTGAGGCTTATAAAACATTACAGAGGATTTCAGTTTCATTTTTGACATTTTATATACCAAAATCTCTACACTTATAGCATCATGTAATCTTAAAGAATGATAAATATAGAACTGTTTTTCAATATTTTTAAGTCCTGATAATTAAGCAGATGTATGCGCTGCACATTATCTCTAACACCATCTGGTATGTTATCAAAACTCACTCCCGTAGCCAATTTACTTTCTATTTGAGTCTTTTCATCCTTAGTGAAATGAATATGGTCAGAATCATGTGTGTGTAGAGTAAACAGTATACATATAAACTCTTTAGAATCATGGCTGTGATAAACTTCTATTGTAGAAGGACAGCGTATCAGTTTGCATAATCCCTGACTTTTAGCTTGTCGTCTTCTCTCATCTTTTATTAAGTTTGATGTTCCTGATCGATGACATATGTAGTAAGTTTCCTTGTGAAGTTCTAAAGCCCGTCTGTTTTATATTTGCATTTAATTTATTTATCCTTTGCTAACATCCAACTCTGGAATTCTGAAATTGTATCAAAATGAATTGCAACTTCTCCATAAAATAACAACTAAAATCAAATTTACGGGGTTTTCATCACATCAACATTTATACCACTTCACTTTGTATAAATCTTTATTTCCGAAGACGGCCTCGGCTCCGCAAAGCACCACCGAGGTTAGGAGCAGAATGTTTACAAGCATATTACATGTAAAACAGGTTACATAACAAGAATATGTTAGATTACAACTATATGTTTTAGAGTTCAGTTAATGTACTTGGCAAATTATTGACTGCAGAGTAGCCAAATACTTACATAAAAAATTTGCATAGGAGTTGATTACATAAATACGTGGTAACATACATCGGGTATTATTAACAAATGAACATAGAATATTATAATACAAAATATTATATCAATGATAAACACATTCGAGAAAACATCAGTCCATTGAGACAAATTGACCTAATTAACGGTAGTTCTGTTGAAATAAGTATATACTAGTTCTTTAAATGCCACAAAACAGTTTTTGTCTTTGACAAGTATGTCAAGGCTGCAAGGCCAATTTTCTTCTCGCGGAAGTAGAGTGGTGATGGTAAAACGCTTATCGTCCAACATAGGGCATTTAAATAGATAGTGTTTTACTCCATCTGTTTCGTTACAAATTTCGCACAGTGAGTTTTCCGATTTGCCAAACCTGTGAAGATATTGGTTGAACTTCCCATGTCCAGTATAGAATTGGACCAATTTTTGGTCAATGATTGGAAGAGTAGAATCTGAAACCTTGGGGAAAAACTCCTTTGTAAGACATTCGCTATGCTCCTCCNATACTCATTAAAGTTTAAATGAAACTAATAAACTTATAATACTCTTAGTTACGTATAATCTGATTTGTAATCTTATAGATGCTATCTGCTAGTTTATTAAAGGCATTGTAAATGTCCTGATTAGCCCATATATCAGAAAGTTTGCATGGCCAGTTAATGCCTTGTTCGTCCATAAAGATCCTCATTTCCAATCTCTCTCTGCAGAACATAACACAGTCGTAGAAATAGTGTTCTGAACCGTCAGTTATATGACAAGTAGGACAAGTATCGTCATTTCTAGATGTAAATCGAGTTAAATATGAGGCAAATTTTCCATGGTTGGTAAATATTTGACTTGTGATGTGACTAGGATAAAAATACTTAATTGAATAAAAGTGTTTCAAATCTGGAATAAATTTATAGGTGATATGGGAACTGTTTTGATCCCATTGTTGCTGCCATATCTTTATAGTCTCTTCCCAAATTATTTTCTTTAAGGTGTTAACACTGAGTTTATCGTATTCAATAGGTAGCGCTGTATTCTCAGCAGCATATTTGGCTAGCATATCGGCTCTTTCATTTCCAGTAACGCCTTGGTGCGCTTTGACCCAGTGTATTTTAATATTACACGTTGCATGGCGTATTAAATTTCGTATATCTTCTGCTAGATGGTGTAACTTATTACTATAAATAATGTTATATGCCGAACGTGAGTCCGTATATAAAATTATTGTCTCATTATTCTGGGTTTGTATAGTCCACGTAATTGCCTTTTTAATAGCATAAAGTTCTGCTTGAAAGATAGTACATCTTTCATGTAGACGTATAGATTGATTATAAACTTCGACATTATTTTCATAAACAACAAAGGAGGAGCCAACTTTGCCATCATGTCTGGATCCATCAGTGTAAATAACCAATGTTCGATTATTCGTATCTGAATTATCGTGTTCCATTGAGATACTATAAGTACTGATTTCACTGAAGGGATATGTCCATTCAACCTCGTCATGAGTAATATATATAGAATCTATTTGTATAGTTTCTCCCTTTTTAACTTGCTGTATTTTGTTTCTTTGTTCAATGTATAGATCCAGAGGTGGTTTCCTTGCAATGACCTGTAGACTTGCGTTACTAGTTGTACGATAAGCTTTAGTTATTAACATAAGAGCACGTCGCTGTGAAGATATTAATTTACGTCTTACATGCACTTTTCTTGCAGCCCAACCCCATACACTACTTGCATAGGAAACTATTGGGTAAAAAATGCTATCATAAATCATAGACATTGTAATTGATTATTTATGGTATAAATCAACATTTATACCATAAATATTTCTTTTATGAGTATGCAAATTTATTCTTTATGTGAACTTTCTATCGCATAAATAACAAATGTCTAACAAGGATTCCGCCATTTATTATTTAGACTAAAAACAAAGTGTAATCGCACCCACCACCAGATTACATAGTCGCAGCCACTCACACTGTAACGCCTTGTCTCATCACAGTTGCCCGTCCCACTGTAGTCCTATCGAATTCAATGAATCAATTTAAATACTGTATTATATACTGTATGGTATTGCTAATAAATTAAATTTTTAAAAAATATGTAAACAATTACGTATTTTATAGCAATTAAACGATACCTGCGATGCTTCCATCTCTGCTGGGGTAAGTCCTAAAATTTATTATTTGTTGTGTATAGAGAACCAAGACTAGATCGCGTCAAACGACGTTGACTATTCTTTTTTAAAAATTGAAAAATAAATGGTTTATAAATTTATATGATTTTTGGGGATAAATTGTTGTTTTAGCATCCAGTTGGCAACGTAATCGGTAGTGTTGTTCCGGCCGGCAACAGCATCGAAGGTACGGGATGATACTGGACGATTTCTGGATTTGCAAAAGGGATTATCACAAAACTAGGCCCTGTAGTCAGCCGAATGTGTTGGTAAAGTTTCTTAGTGACTTTTTGAAAAGATAAAAATTATGGAAAATATTGCTTTTTTGTAGTTGTATCGTTATTTCTGTTGATTCTCAGCGGAATAAAGAAACATCCCGGTCTTTTATCCCTTGCTCCTGTGACCATAGGGTCGGTATCTCTTCGATACCTCGTCAGGATGACACCACTGTATCTTTCGGTCGATACAGAGACCAAAAGTTCGCGCGAGCGGATAGGTATGAGGGTTGGACCCGGAATGGAGAACTGAGAGACAAACGGAAGAAACTGCACTCCAGAAGTTTTAAACATAAAAACCCGTTTATTTATATATAATCTAAATTAAGTTTACATCAGCGAATAAAATACGATACATAAACTACATGAGTTATTATTCAATTTTTAGTCCAAATTAACGATCGGGTGCGCGTTTCGTTTACGCGGAGAGAGAGAACGTACAATAGTGCGCGGGCAGGATAAATACCTTAGGTTGTAGGCAAAATCAGCACAAAAGGTCCAACAGTTCTTTTTAGGTGAACAGTTCTTTCCAGGTGAGTAGAAAGATTTCAGTTAAGTTCAGGTCTTCCAGTCTTGTCCAAGAGGAGGAGGTTCGGATTCTCGGCGGGAGGTAGACGATCGGAGCGCACACACAGATACCAATAATAACTTCCACCCCCTTACTCATCATGCCTGGCCCTTTTATATCAAGTCCTCATTTTCGAACTTTTCTCCGATTTCGTCAGCGATGACGATCTTCTTGGTCCAATGAGGGGACGGGTGACACAATCGTGACACAGAAATGTACTCATCTCAACACGGAACCTAACTCGTGGGAATCAAGGTTTTTATTGATTTTATTTTTCCTTTTTCTCTTTTAATTTTCTGTTTTCTCGTTCCGTCTTTATAAAGTTTATTAAACAAAAATTTTAGTTTAAAACACAAAATTTCTGGTCCTCACACTCCTTTTGATTCGCCATTTCAGTTTACTAATGCTAAGAGCAAGCGACATCGTTCTCCTTGCGAACCTATGTTGAAAATTGCGAAAATGGACGATTTTTCCTGTTAAATCTGAACCAATTAAGTCGATTCCTAACGAAATACTTTCATATTTAGATGAAAAGTTTGATACAGTCCTTAATTAATGCTTGAAGTGAGGTGTCTGCTAGAATCGATTGGCTTGTTATTTTATATAACAAAAGCGATAAGGTTGACTAAGATTGAAACTAAACTGCAGGAAATTTTCAAGTTTAAGCAGCAATCGGAAAGCAAAGATAGCTTGCTTTTGCATAGTATTGATTCACTGGCGTTAAGACTCGGAGGAAGAATATAGTAATTCACGGTCTGATGGAAACTGATGATGATCTGAGTAAGAAGATACAGGAATTATTTACGGTAATAATAGAAGAACCAAGGACTATTCCATCGTCAAGGATAACAAAGCTTTATAAAGGAAATAATAATTTTAGTTGAATTATCGTCGTTATCGGATAAAAAGTTAATTTTTAAAAGAATAAATAATCTTAAAAACCATGCAAAATTTACAAAAATTAAGACCTTCAATGACTTGTGTTGGAGATCTAGACTAAGGCGCAAGAAACACTATCATCAATATAAATCTGAAAAGAATGAGGTTCGATTAACCAAAAATAGTCGACCGAGAGATCAGTAGTCAATGCTTCATAATATTGAGAGTGTGTACGCAAATATTACTGAACTTCGAAATTAATTAATGTCTTTAATATAACTTCTGTGAATTGTTTTGGTTTGTTCAATGTGAGCTCCTTGCTGTTTGGAAACAAGCTTACATTACTGTTTCCGTGAGTCAAACACCTGTTTACATTTTTCGGGAGTTACATTTGACCGTTCGTCTTTAAGTACTTTCCAAAACCCACTCAGCATGTCAATGGAAAAGTCTCTGTTTAAGGGAATCCGAAACCGAAAAAGTCTACAGGGATGATATCTGGGGATTTAGTACGAATATCCTGCATTTTATATAATTGAGATTTGTAGAAACTTTACCATATTCGAGGTACTCCTCAGTTTTCTTTGCGGTGTGAGAAGAGGCTTTGGCATGATGAAACACGACTTTGCCCATCTATCCTGGGTACATGCAAGGAACTTCTCTTTTTAAATATGGCTTCCGTACATTGCTGATATAATATCAATTTACCTTAACTTTATTTGGGATTTTTATAAGAGTAAACGTTCCTTTTCCGGTCATTCCACCGACGATCACCAAACCTTCCGGCCAGCTTTCGAAGCACTTCGTCAACCAAGTTTCGGGAATGAGAACGTTTCCCATTTAAGAAAATTATGACAATCTCATTTTTAACGATTGTAATTCCATCTATTATGAAACCGAAAACGCCATTTTGTGTCCACGTTGAGTCTAACATTTTTCCTTTAATGATTTTTATGTGAAATGTCTATTATTCGAGTCATTCCAGTGGACTGATTAAAATGAAACATCCTGTATATTAAAAATATTAGAAGTATGTTTAATTTTTTCCTGTCGCGAAAACATCTAGTCTTTGTTCTATTAAAATATATTTTAATATTTAAGAAATAACTTTTTACATTTTCATTTCTATTTTTATTTTTTAATATATAGTTGTTTGAGGTAAGAATGTTTGATTTTTATTACTTAACTTTCAGAAAGAATAAGTAACGTTATATAAAATACTTGAATTACTTTCTATAATATAATTTATTTCATTTCTGTCATTTACAGATTTTAGCAGAAGATAAACCAAATTGTACAAATTGGTCTGTTCATGATAAATGACATACTTTCGTCTATATTGAATTGAATGGGATAGAGGATCTTTCAGAATTATAAACTTGAAAATTAATGATATTTATTAATCAAGAAATATTTAAAAATTAAATGAAATTGTTATATTAATCTCATTAAAATATTTTTAATATTGTATTTTCAATAATTCTGAAAAATAAAATTAATGGTATTAAAAAGATTCATTTACTTTCTGTTTAAAAAAAAAAAAAAATAGAAGGAAATTTTCATCGTTTGAATCCAAAAACAGCCCATATACTCAATCCCATTATAGGTTCACAAAGGGGTTGTCGGGTGGTTAATGGGCAAGACCTGACATATCCAGTATCATATTAGACTGGTTCTAGAAGATTTCCATACTATGGGAGGACATTTTTCTAAATAAACCGTAGGTTTGGCTAGAGTCCATTTGCATAAAATACTTGTAGTTTTACAAGCTTTACAAGTAATTATAAGAAAAATGTGTTGAATAAAATGTTTTCTAACAAGTTACTACTCGTAACCAATTGCGGTTGTATAAAGTTACTTGTTTGTTAAGTTACGGCAACGTAACAATTGGGCGATCTGACTAGAGGGTACGCCTTCCGGGAGGTCTTTTTGAGGGTAACTGGCCCCTATTCAGGCGTTACAGACGTGGAGAAAACCCGGAAAATTCCACGTCCGGACGAGGCGCAAACCCACGACCGAACTCCCAGTGTTCAGGGAACGGAACCGCTTGGCCACTGGTGGGCCCACGAAGTTACCTACAATCAGTATTCAATAAGCTACAATTTTAATAAAAAATAAAAATTCGTCGCAGTAAATCTATTGTAACAAGTAAAATGTAGCACTTGTATACAAGAGAAATTTGTTTTATAAGCTTTTTATTATATATACAATATCAAATATACAAGAATTTGTTACAGTTACAGCGTTGCACTTTTAGTTTTTATAAAAATTTTCACCATCAATTTTTTACTCATAAAGTGATTATAAGTTTTGTTCTTATCGAATTCTCATATTTTAATTTTTAATTTGGTAGTAACTTATAATGGTTGACGATGATAAAGGTAATTTCTTTGACATACGATTACTGGAAAGAAGACGAAAGGTGAAAACAATTCTGAATGTGAATCATAAAAAGAATAAATTTTATTTAATTATAAAGAAATTAATATAATAAGTAATAAAAATGTAGAAAGTTTCTATATTTTAATCTTTATTATACTACATTTGGTCTTAATCTGGTTATACATAAAGTCCTAGTTTCGCCAATTGTGGTTTTATCAATTGAAGAAATATTTTTAATTGATTAATAAAGGAACCTGTATAGCAGAAATGGGCAAGCTTTTTCTAGATAAGAGTGACACAGAAGAGGGAAAAAACAAAATACAGGTAAATCACAATTATTTTTTCATGTATGACAATAAATTAACATAGGCATACTTAATTCTGACTTCTGGAACTGATGCGAACGTTACAGAACTGTAAATTCTTCGGAAAGGAGCAATTTTCTATGTTAAAAAATAACACAATTTATTAAAAACTGGTGTTGTGTTGTATATTCTACATTTCACGTTACATACATTCATACATACAAGAAAGACATTGACTGCACACGGTGTTTAGCCGGCAGAAAAGAGGGTAAGGGAAAGGGGAGAAGATAGACAATAGAGTAAGGTAGGATCCCTCTGAACGGAGTACGTATGGCTATAGTACTCTCTATGTTGATGTTGACGTGCACTTTTTGGGCTTCAAGGCCGTAGTCTCCCGAAGGGTCTAAAAGAAAATCTGAGTGTAGCCAATCAGTGGCGTGCCGTCATTAGAAGCGGTGGATGCGCCGCTTTCCTTGTATTTTCTAAAACATAAATACATATTAATTTTAATTATATGAAAATAATCGCACAATATTTTATTATAACCGCATTATGTATCTTATTACAAATTTCTATACTACACGTGAAAAAAAGATAAGATCGCTATTGTATATTCGAATGTTAATGGCGGAGTAGCGGAGTGGAAACAGTGTATTGTCAGCATCCAAAAAGCCAGATTCGCGCATGCGCTTTACAGAGCACCAACCTCACCCAATTTAGCCGGTGGAAGCCTAGGACCTGGAGTGAATGCTTACACGTATAACGCATCCAATTCTATCTGGGACCGGTTCCGGGCTGTTAGCCGCTCGCCCGCTAGATATTTGGCCGCCCTCGCCCGATTACGCGAATCACGAGTAGATTTATAACTTAACCCAACCGATAAGAATTTACTGGTATGTTTTTACGATAGTTCTGTATAGTTGACAGGAGTTTAAAAAATCCATTAAAATATTTGATATATTTATTCCGCTCTCCGATTTTATATTACTCACGGATTTCAATGTTAAACCAGTGATATTACGATTTCGTATATCCCATCTTTAAGGGGATGTAGAAAAAAACGTGTACAATTCTTGTACAATGTTAAAAAATTAACTGTTACTTTGGCAGCATCATTTACAACTAAATTTAATGAATGAGAGAGATGCACGAGGTACAGAAAAAGCTCTAGAATTTATTTTCCTTAAATTTACGATTTATGTATCCGTTTGTCATAAAAATTTGTCTTTCCACTTTTTTCCCGAGACTACAAATATTCGAGTACAAAGTAACCGGTTTCGACTTATTTCTACTTAAGAAGTAGTTAAATAATTAAGCGATTAGGGAATTGGGGACATAAACAAAACCCTGACGAAAGAGCCGGAATATTACTTAAACAAAAGCTTAACCGAACCAATCTATAGCCGAGTACAGTGGGGACTGATTTCTTCGAAATACTGTATTAGATGTAATAAAGACAGAAATTTTTCCAGTTCGACGAGAGTGACCGAAAAGTTGTAAATTTTGGAAATTTCCGTGGACAACACCTGGTCCTAAAACGAATTAGTTAGAAAACAAACGACGGACAATCTATTAAGTTTAACATATTTAGACTTTTACAGCTATGGTGAGAAACGTTTAAAATTTACAAGAACCCTGTCGCGTCTTTTGAGGTATATTAGTGATGCGACAAAAGAAACATTTGACATTGCCAAATCCCGAGGGTATCGGCACCCTCGGGATTTGGCAGCCCGCGTGCATGTACAGTACACACCGCACACCTAGCAGGACCGTCTCTGATTCCACTCGTAGGGAGCTATTTGACTAAGTGGTTAAGATTTAAAGAGTAAAGAATATTTTATGTTATTTTCATGTACGTTTCATTACAAAGTTATATTTAATTATAATTTTCTTTAAAAGTATATTCATACAATTGAAGAATGTTTTGTACCAGGTATGTATATCCACCACACATTTTATTTCACCAAGTAAGTTTTTATAATTTTATTTTTAATTTTAGCCCTTATATCGTGGCTAGCGATTCGGAATGTAATTGCGATATTGAAAATTTATTTTAAAAAAGTTTTGGCTCGAGATCATATAATGAAAAAGAAAACATTATTAAAAGAGAAAGGCCAATGCCTAAGTTAAATATAAACGCTTCAATAAAAAAATTTGTTCGACATTTTCACGATAAAATGGCTCTGTAAATGCATAAAAATGCAAAAATTGTTTTGTTGGCTTGCCTACTATTTTCAAATGAAATTAGTGTGTGGAATAAGAATGGCTTTGACAATTTTGCTGGCAAAAGACACGAAAAATCGTCGATTCTTTCGTATTTGAAGCAATTTGGAAATCAAAGCGGAATAGAATTTAACATTAGTAAATAATATAAAATAAATATTGAAAATTATAACGAGATAGTTACGGCTAATAGATATATTATATCTAAATAAATAGATATTATATGTTTTTATCAAAGCAAGAATTGGCATTTAGAGGGCATATGGAATATATTGGATCTAATAACAGAGGTATTGAACTTGTTTATTTATTAATTTAGAATTTATAATTTATTAAAAGTACATTTAAAAAAAGAATTAACTGATTGCCCCTGGAAGTCGGCTTCTTATAGAAACACAGCTTCCCTATCATCAAATGTCACGGCACGCCACTGTAACCAACACTAATGATTCAATGCCACCACGAATATAAGTGTTGAAGTTAGTGCCAAGTGGCTGTTAGTAGGAAGACTTATATGTAATTTTATACATTTCTTGTGAAAAAAACATTTCTTTTCGACGGCCATAAAAATGGAAAGGGGAAAACCTCACAATTTTATTCGGGAATTTTTCGAAAGAAAAATTCATTTTTCGTTTTGAAAAGGAAATTTATTTAAATCTCAGAGAAAAAATAAACCTTTTCCATTTTATTACCGGAGGATGAGTGCAATTCTCTTCCCGGAGTCGTCTCCTTTCCCAGGGAACTCAAAATGTGTCACGGAGAACTACAACAAAAAATTCACTATTGGTGGAAAACGACAACGTGACTTGGAAATAAAGAGGAGACCTGAAGGAACAATGAGATGGGTCGAGAGTCCGCGAGAATATTCCCTGTGTGCCAGCCGAAAGGATTTACCATCATCGCTCGTCACCGCGCGCTCCTCCCGAATATCCAGTGTTTCTCCGGGAACACCTACGAAGAACTAACGAATCTCAACTTTCGATAGACATTAACCGCCATCCAAGGCAACAGAGACATTTCCAAGGCTCCTCAACGACTCCACAGACATCTGGAAATCCATACATAGTGCTTCAGGTATTTATAACGACCCGCGATGTTAAGTAAGCTCTCTCTCCAACTCGGTTCTCGCGATGAAACTTTAAGGTAAATACCCTTTTGTAGAACTAGATTAATAAATGAATTTTGTTATTGTTAGAATTGTGTTGGGTGCACTTCCTCGAGCGGTCTCCATCCCGAGTCCAACCGCCCACAGATGCAACTGCTCGCGCGTAAACGCGAACGTAACGGTCTCTGTGTCTACCCAGAAGACACAGTAGTGTCGGTCCTGATGAATTTGTCATTGCAGTCTTCGCCGACGCAATGTCGACCCTTCGGTCCTGTGGTGCCGAAGCATAGAGGGGGCCCTTCGGCATTGTCACAGTATATAGTCCTAAATTAGGTACTGTAAATCTAATGTAGTACTGTATTGTAATTTTATACATTTCTTGTGAAAAAACATTTCTTATTCAACGGCCATAAAAATTATTTCTATTAATGATGTCTCCAAAGTTCAACGAATTTTTCGCAAAAAAATGACTTATCAGAAAATGCGCCCGCCGTTTGGTGCGCCGCTCCGCGACGAAAACAAGCTTAAGCAATGGCGTGACGGTGCACACTCGGTAAGTAATCCTACAATTTTTTGTTTATAGCATAGTTTATACAGATTATTCCCAAAAAATTATACGTATTTTGGAAATGTTGAGTCGAATTAGTCTAGAATCGATTAATTTTATGGAAGAAAACCTTTCAAACAGCCGTAGTCCGTAAACTGCACACGTGCCGGGCTGTGATTGGCTCGAAC